ACGATTCGAGAGCTAATATACATCTCTCAGCGTTATTTTACATGACCAAACTATGCGTTATAGTTTAGATTATTTTTATGTCTATAAATATAGAGCTTGGCGCGCCCGGACCAACAGCAATTGTTCTTAAAGTTCCGATTTAAATAATTGCGAAAACCGTTTTTTTTCCTCAAAGGTATAATAGAATATTGCAACTAGCACCGTTTCAAATACCGTCCAAATGAAGTAAAGCTGAAAGAAAATACCGTCGTCCATTCAAATGCACTTTATAACTCACATTTGGCCCTTTGAAAATACTTCAATACGCTTGTCTATTCAAAGCCGACCAAACTAATACGGTCCCAAACAAAACAACGAGCAATTGCGGCACTAATTAGCCTGTGGACACGACAGTAACTCAAAAATAATTATATGCGGTACTTATCTAGAATTTGCATATAAATTAGTGAAATCCGATTCAACTACCAGTTTCACTAGTAACTAAATATGATGTTGTTTGGAAAGTGTTTTCTAATTAGTGTCATTTAATCTAGATTGTTAGTTGCGTTGTTTGCCTCCATGCTTAGCTATCGCCGGTCCCCTCGCTTTGCGGTAGGCGTTATCTGAACTAATATTGTTAAGTCAATGTTTATCCCATTCACAATTGCTTCACGCCATAGTTTTGTTACCTAAACCATCAACTACGGGTCAGATAGAATAGCAGACCAAAGTTTAACGGTTTAAACGTGCCACACTAGTTGCAAATATCATTAAAACTTACTATTGTAGGATTTAAAATGCGGTACATCAGGTTTTCTTTAAAAATGAAGCAAACTGGAAAATTATGACTTCACTAAATCCCATGCCGTAAAGCTCTGATTTTAACAAGAAATTTAAATATAGTAGTTTATTGTTCTTTATGGTTAAATCATCTAATTTGCATCAACACAGATTTCAAGCATACAGATCTCGCCGAAAGCGCTTAAGAACACAGATGCAGAATATGTCTCAATAGTGGAATGATCTCCACTCTAGTAAGCTTGGTATTAGGTATGTTTTACATTAGCTTGTCCGCTGAGGAAAAAAATTTGGGATAAACTGACACTCCTCTTAATAAATTGCCAAGAAACCCACTTAAACTGCGCACCAAAGTCACGTAGCCATATGAGGATTGAAAAAACTAAAGTAAAAAAATACGTGCTTCCACCTCGCCTCAAAATTGCTCACGTTTCAGTCCATTAATCAAAGGGGATTGCGGATCTAAAAATCTTTTAGGCCTACTCCCCGGTTGTTGAATTAAATTTGTTTTTAATTTTCTTTTGCGAAGAGGAGTCGTCATTTTATCCAAATGGGGCCTTTTGTTTTTCAACTTTCCGTGAATAATTATATGTTAGAGCGAAAAGAGGAAATGGAAATTTTTCATAATCTTTATAAGCAGAAGGACAGATGAACTGGGGAGGCAAATGAGAGTCTGCGCTTATTTATGTTCTGTTACAGGATTATCCGGGATCGACGCTGTTAACTTATTTGAAATATAATTACATATATTAAAATTTTCCGTAACTAGATTAAATCAGATAATGTTTACTGTTCTTGCCAATTAGGGAAGAGGACCCTACAGCCTCGTCTAAACGCAAGTAGAACAAGAAGTCATTAATTGTATTAAGTAAAGAACAAAAAGTTCTATTCTGTATTGTGGAATGGGAAAAATTTGCTTTTTTGTTCTCGTGCACGAAGCATATATTTAGGGCTGACGCAGTTGATAATAGTTTCAATAGTAATCAATAGTTTCGGCAGTTATTGTATTTTTTATGCGTGTCATACTGATACATACATAGTTAATGAAACAAAAATGTTCTTTCCGTTACTGAAAAAATGCACACAGAAATATATCTCAAATTAACATTATTAATGTAAATTAATTAGTTTCAAAACAAACAACATATTTTCATTCTTCACAAAAATGTTATTAGCTAGTGCGGTCTTTCCGCTACATCAGAGGTCACAATGATAAACTAGAAAAAAATTACAAGTTTAAACAATTCTCGTTTGTTAGGCTTAAAATACATCTAGAACATTATTCATTTTATAGGAAATGTAAGTATTATGGTGCCACTTTATTGGTATTATATTATCACATAAATGTTAGGATTAAACTTGAGGGGCTGCCCCAATGCTGAACGAATCAAAAACATACGTACGAGTCGTTTAACCAAGTACAAGATACGCATAAGCAAAAAATGAATCCATTAAACGCATGCAACAAAATTAACTACTTTATGGGCTTCAGAGTTAATTACCTCCCTTACAGGTATTATGTATTTAATACCGACCGTTAATTGCAATATTCTGATAGCTTGAATTTATTGTTCCGAAATCAAATTAAAATGAAAATCTGCATTCAGACAAACAATGTCAATAACACAACCATATACTAATTGAAATGCACTGACAATATTTAATTTATCTCCATATCGCAAATTCGATTTTATAAAAGTCACTTCCGAAAATGTTCCCATTAATATTTGATTTGTTTGATCTGTTTTAACGCTAATATTCAGATTTCTATTCAAATATTACGTTTCCGTTGCATGATATTCGTAAAAATCACGTTTTTATGTCGTATTGCTTTGCATAAATCTACATAAACCAATCTAAATTTTTCCCTGGTGAAGCATAAATTACCGCAAAAAACTTTTACGTTAAATGCAATTAGTTTTTTCAGAGGTCCGGCTAACCATACACATTAATGACATGTTTTATAGTGGCATTTGGCTAATCTTCAATTCATTCTATTAAAGCCCCATTCTCCCATTGCAGACGACGGAAAATTCATGGAAATATATTCAGTACTAAGAACAATTCAATCGATAGAATATGAATTAAGTTCCTGCCGAATGTATTTTCATAATGGAACTCAACTACTAATTCCTTAAAACGTTTTAGTGTGGCTGGATTGAGTCATTTTACTTGTGGCGTGTTTCATTCCTTCATTATGTATTTGTCATATTTGAAGACATGCAATCTTCGGTGAGTCACAATATTGTCTTTCGTGGGAGAATCACACATGACAACGAAAAACATGTTGGGTCTGAAAATGCTAAACAGTAGTACATCATTTTGAGTTTCGTATTTTTTCATTTAAAAATTAAGTTTGATATTATCAAGTTTGAATAAAACATGGGTAAAATGAAACTTTATCAAGGTAAACTGTCTGTCTCGTATCTTAAGACATTTTCCTGAATATCATGTAAAAAATAGGTTGCTCAAACAGGCAGACAGACCGACTACAAGGCTGACTTGTGTTTTAACTATATTACCGTCGCATTTACCTCAAGAATTTTGTAAATGCCTGTAATTTAAAGGGCAGTTCTGAGTAAAACTGAGTAAAAACATATTTGGGGTTGGCTAAAGTCTAGACATTTTCAGCGAAATACCACATAACTTTAACATCTAGCATTTTGGAGCATTTATCAGAAAGTTGGCTTTAACTGCTACTCGTAGACAATTATCTTAATGGGGGAAGTTTTGGTACGAACACCGTGTCCGCCTGAATTTCATATAAATAAACACGTCGCCTAATGGGATTAATAGAAAACAATACTTTTACGTTATTAGTCCATGATGTATTTGCGCTTAATTACATTCGACTACTTCAAAAATTTTATTAAAATGATTCCTAAACAGCTGGGTTGCACACAGTTCTAAGGTGGTAAATTAAATAGCTGGTGTTTCAACTAAGTTTTCGCTTCACTGCGAGTTTTTAAATTAAGTAGCAACTTAATGCGTAAAAAAGCAATTTCAGATATTCTCCAAAGGACCTATTAAACTGGCAGCCCATTACACGATCTTTATTCAAATCACCTGTTTTTCCGCCGGACAGGCTGATATATTTTAATACATATACTTCTTTAAAATCGTTCATACATATTGAATTAAAGAAAATAATTGACGCTTAATGAACGTTCATATCCCCTTAGCTAATTAGTATTTTTTCATCCACTGTTTTTTTATTTGAATCAACACTATTGAAAGTTGAGAATAAATGAAGCGACAAACAATAAAATTTACAGGGTGCATATTTTGTAATACGATTTTCAAATGAAGCTTCAGCAGTTGAAATTAGGCGTGCAACCACTTCTGCAGATGTAAGCAGATCGTGCTTGCGAAGCGTTGGGACGAAACGCTGTACTGCGACCAGATAAGAGCCTGAAATCTCACCAGTTCCAAGTTGTGAGCGCAAACGGCTCTAAAATGAACTTAATTCTTTAAGAGACTGTCAATTAGGTATTCGTGCTCAATTGTCCTAATAAATAACGTAAGAATATTTATAGCTTGAGAAATGAATTCTTTGTTTGACGTCGAAGTTTCTATTGTAACAGATCGTCGGCATTTTTATTTCCAACGCTGGTTAAGTGGTAGTGTATAAAGTTTCTAATTAGTTGCTAAGAAGTTTCCAGCAGTCGAGAAAAGCAAGCGCAAACGGGACAATTTGGAAATTGGCCGGATGTTTTTTCCTACCTAATCAACGGGTCTCCTACAAATCCTGTAATTTAGTTGACGTCAGAAGTTTCTTCATTTTCAATTCGAATCGAAAAATTAAGTTTAATTTTTGAGATTTTGCATCCGTGTAAAACGGCATTTCGCGTCTTTAATGGCAATTCCCATTGGCTATTGATTATTCATAGGCAGAGCATTACGCGTATCTAGCAATGCATTTTGTAATAAATATTTATAAACGCCTGTCTATGTATCTATTTTTCTAGGACAAATTGCTGTGTTTTCTCGGGAAAATGATAAAAAGGATCTAATTCGAAATTGAACGATAAATAATGACCTACTGTCCACTCTATTACTGGATTATCCGCTTTTCTTTTCTTCCCTTCCATTTCGACTTACTCAAAACCTAATTAGCGACCATTCGATTTTCATGGGCAATTTGAGGCGAATTACTGTACAAAAAAACAATCATCATGGTTCAATAATTTATTGGATTTAATTGACCAGTTTTTGTTAGCTGCTAGACTAAAGTGTTTCAGTTGAACACTTATATATTTCTGGAGCTTTCATTTACCCGATGATTAACAGTAAAGATTTAAATTAAATTGCGTTCGTTGTCTATTAATATTTTATTAGAGTAGAGATTATTAGCTCAACAAGTAATATACGTTTAGAACTGAAGAACTTTCAAATGCCGCTTCTCCATATTTGATACAGAAATCAACAAAACACTCGATAGAAGCAAAATGGATTCAAAACACATTGAAATAAAATGCAAACTTCTGAAAATATGCGGGTATTTATACGGACACTCAAAAATAAAATGAGTTTGCTCAAATCTAAAGCAAATCCTTAATAGAAACCGTATTTGGGATTATCGAAATGCGGCTTATTCCCAAATAATAAATATGCAAATATAATCTGTTCGCTTTTGTTAATCGGTTCAGTAAATTACGGGTCGTATACGGAGACTATATAAATTTTCATATCCCCTTGATATCCTCGATATGATACACAGCGAATAAACGGGCTTAGTTTTGACCTGAACAAATTAACTCGAATTAACCGAAAAGTTTTGACCTGTCGGGGACTTTCGAAAATATGGAAGATTGAACCTAACAAATACTGTCCCTTTGGGTCAAGTTATGCTAAATAACTTTATTCGGTGTGTGTGTATAGGGCGTACAAATCCCAGGATTGCATTAAAAGTAGCATTCCTGTAAAGATAAAATCACTCAATTGCATAAGCCCTTAGGGTCGATATCGTCACCTTTACGCAGGTTCATCCGGCATATATTTTCTTAGAATGACTGCCTCAACATGAGCTTTGAGAGTGGTTGGGATCTTGCTATGCAGAACAATAAAGAAACCTAAAATAAAGACAATATAAAAATTATATGAGAAACCATACTTTTTACAAATAATGCGAGTTAAAAATTGTTAAAAAAATTGTGTAATAAGTTGGAAAATCTAATCTAAAACGCTATTAGGGTTCCTGTGTTATTCCCTCTGAAGTGCACCTGTCACGAAACATGAAACAGGGATTTAATCTTCGTCAGCACTAGGTACATGCAAGTAATCCATTAAAATATGTAGGAACATATTCAATTATCAGGCATTAATATTACTTTATCATTTTCGCGTACATGTATAACGAGGTTAATTCGATAACCAAACTTGGTAACTTAATATATTAAACACTGTAAACTGCAGGGATTTGGAGATATAATCTTAGGTCTGCTCAGTCTGAATTTGCTGTGATTTGAAACGGGCAAGATAATGGAATTCCAGAAAAGATAATTATGGTTTCGAACACAAATTTCAAAACGACAATGTTTCTATAAAATTCAAACGATCCCAAAAACCTTAAATTAAAAACCAGCGCAGTCGTACCCACCAGGACACCAGAATTGATGCAGTTTCCGTAATTTCAATGGATCGCTGCTAAAGTAAGAATTGACAGTGATAAACTCTGCAAAAACTAGCAATCAAATGTGCGAAGATCACCTAAAGGAAATATTAGACACCATACATTTTTTTAAATCAGAAAATTCAAATAATGAACGGGAATCATTAGCAACAAACTCAAAAACAGTTTTGAAAAAATTTTAAAGTTAGAAAAATAAGTTTATACTTATAACATTCATGCAAATTTGCTTCAATAAGTGCGATTGTATACCAACAGATCGTTCAACTTAAAATAAGTACAACAAAAATAGTAGTTTTCATAACATCAGTTAAATAGGTATGATAGTTTCAAAGTAATACTAATACAAATAGCCCTGAATTGTATAAAAGTTATTGTAACATCGATTAAACTGAAAAATTTGGAACCTCAGTTGAATTTAATAATAAAAATCAAAATGGCAGACCGTCGCAACCGTCCCGCAAATCTTATTTAATATGACAACTATCCAGAAAAGCTCGTTAAATTTACAAAATTAATTCCGTTTGACCAGGTGACAGGTTTCAACGCCAAATTAGCGTAGAGCTTAACTTAATACCCTTTCGCCCATCAGTTTAAATATAATCTGCTAGCTGTTATTAAACAGTCAAGTAAATTTGCAGCTAGCTAAACGAACAATAAATCCTCATGAGCCTACGTTATTCCAATGACACACAACCTCTAAATCCCTTTAAATTTAACCGATGCGAATTTACTCAAATTAATACATGCCATGTTTCACATAATGTTGAAATATGGACAAAAAATTCTGAGGACAGTTTGAATTAGCGAGTGGATTTGGTTCCATGCAAACGAGCGACTGTGGCTTACTGTATGGATTTGTACGCAAACCAAGATTTTCACTCTGCTGACACATTAAAAATGCTATCTAGTTGAAGAACTGAGTCAATAAATTGGAAATCGAGCAAAGTCTGTCGCAGATAATTTGCTATAAATTTTGCGTAGATTACAAAAAAACATTAACGCAAAAATAAAGTCAGAATTCATCAGTGCAAATTTCCACTATGCGTCAGAAGTTCTCAAATCGCAACATTTAAATTATTATTATTAGTTTTCAACAGAGAATACCGATACCCGTTAAAAATCTGAGCAGTTGTAAACACTGGTCAGTTAATCTCTTGTGCACAGCACTCGGCATGATTTATGGTAATAAAAATAGCAGGATAATCCATCTTATCATAGACAGTTTTATTTCACATTGAACAAACTTGCATGGATAATAAATAAATCCAAACCAAACTATTTGCTGAAAAACGACATGCGAATAAATGGTTCCTCATGCCTTAAGCTATCACATACCAAGGCATAGCATCATAGGATAAAAATTGATTTAAATTTTCTTGTTCGGAGTCAAATACATTTAGAGAGTTCGCGTCTAATGATGAATTATTGCTCGTATGAATATTGCATCGAATCAGAAGTTCGATTGATTGCGCACATAAAACTAGGCACCTAAAATCCAAAGTTAAAAAAATAGATCCGATGAGCCACAGAAGCTACAAAAGAGCAATGTCCGAAAATCTGTGGAAAATGGAACATCGGCAAATAAATTTAATCGTAAAGAAATATGAAGAAAAAATTCTAGTGTACAAAAAATGTTCTAACGAAATGGAGGAATATATTAATAACGAAAATATCTATCTTGGGGTTTAAAAAACGTTTTTTGCGTAGTGGGCGAAATCCTTCTAGAGCAGCTGAATCGATAAACCAGAAATTACAAGTGCTGTTCGATTTGAAATCATTATGTTTAACCCAACATACCGTCCTCTGCAGAACAATATTGTATTACCAATTATCACTATTACCGCTAACTGTATGTAAGTACACCCATATTTTATAATTTTTAAATCAAATGACCTCATTATAAATCTAATTAATAACTCTAATCCAAAAATCATCAAATATTGCTAATTATATTGCTGGAGATGACTGCATTAAATTGGTTTAGTTATGGTGGGAATCGAATATCTCAACAGATTAACTCGCAATTCGCAAAAGTGATCATTCAGTTTACATTGGCGGCGATAATGAAATATTCAATTTCATCGTTTAGATTAAATGATATGTTGATTTGAATTTATTCTGCCTGTTCGCATTTAGCTCGGTTGGAAGGTTTCATTTTTGAAAATTAATTGATTTGAGTTTCAAATTGTTGTGGATTACAGATGCAAATTTATGATCCTGTATCAAATTATGATTAATAAATTTTAGCAGCCTGCTTTTGCAAATGTGATCAAAGCTAGGAACTCCAATAAAAGTAATACTTGCTCCTTGCTGGATCCCGGGTTTTCTAGCTTAAGCAAGCATTATTTGAAATTGGAATAACATAAACCGGAAAATCTGAAGTAGTAAATCCAGGAAAATCTTTGTGGATCTAGTTTATGCGAGATGGCACTGCTTGCTTCCAATATCAACGGTTTTACTCTTATTTCCAGTTTTAATAGGTCGTTAAATTAGTAATTCGAGTGGCTCGCCACAATGTAATAGCACACTTCTAATTCCATCAGCCATTTGAAATTTTACATTTGTCTCATTTCAAGCGTTTTCGCACTTTTATTGTCTCTTATAACGTTTTACGGCTTATCCGTGACAGCGGTTAGCACAAATTGGTTTTGCACATGCTACATGAGAAAAGTTATAATCTCTTATCGAATATTTTGGAACATTAAAATCTTGTTATGGTTCGGTAGATATATAAATAGCCTGTAAAAAGCATATGGATTATAGCGTGGAGGATAAACATTCCCTAAGAGAAAATGAGGATGTTTTTTTTCATTATAGTTGTTTCATATTGTTTTAATATAATATATATATAATATAATAATAATATATAATTAATATATAATATAGTTTGACTATGGTTTGATTGTTTTAACATTGACCGCATGTGATTTCGAATAATTTGAGATTGATAACTTCAAGAGTTGGTAATTGCTGTATTAAACATGTTTCAGTTATTTTATCAGTCTTGTTCAGCAACGATATTTATGCAACTCTACCCTTAACTTGCAAATTATGGGCATTTCTTCAAACACCACAAGAGAATCTACCAAAAGTAAACTGATTTATATTCTCTTCGTTTGGTTCCCCCTTGATAACTCCAAGTTCTGAATGCAGGTAAAGATCTACCAAAACTTTGATTGTCTTTGTTAATTATTGAATTAAACCCGTTTGAAAATCTCCGCATACGTATAAATCTGTCTAAACTCAGAAGTATGGATGACAAATTTATCTCCAGTTTTACAGCTCGACGCTCGGAACTTTAATAAATCCAAGATGGATGGCAAAATCTCCTATATTGGCAATTGAGTTTTACAACTTTCTAGCTCATTACTTATGAAAACGGCAAACTTTGTTTTTTCCTCCAGCAAAGTTTGGCCAGATTTCGTGGGATTTTTCATTCTAAATTATTCCACTGCTTTTGCGGCGAACGTCTTTTGATAAACTTTTATCTCCTGGATGACTTTCACTTAGACTGACAGTGCAGATTTTTGACTCGATTTTCTAAATGACGATTGATGATGGGTTTTCCCACGTTATAAAGAAAAAAATGGAAAATCAGGGATTGCCAGATTTTCGGTTGAATACGCGACAGTTGGAAAATTCAATATTCAAGTGTTTCTGACGTTTTTACAGTTATTAGAATATTATCACTCTGTTGACACTAACAAAAACTGTTAAGTAATTTAACGCATAATTAACTGGGTGAAGTATGTTACTTGAGCAAGTTGTTTTCATTAAATAGGACATCACATGACAGTAAGTTTTCTAGAAATTTCAGATTTTTGCTTATGCAGACGTAGTTAGTAATAGGACAAAGCAATTTTAAACAGCATAATTAAAAGTACCTATAATTTCAGCTGGCGGCAGTTTCAATTTAAATCCGTTTGCCAGTAAATGCAACTTTTACTTGAAGCTTAATTGGTACCCATATTATTATTACTTTGCCTGCACTTTGTTAAAACTTTGAAATTTTTTTCTAAATTACTAAAAAGTAACCGCGGTTGAAACGATATGAGTATTGCAAACTATCTTCAGTTTAAACAATATACTGCAAATTGATTTATTATTATTATTATTATTGTATTTAACGGCATATACTATTTAACATCTTCACTTTCATTTATGCTTACTTGGAAACAACAGCATCTATAAAGTAATCCTCCATAAATATTCACGTAACTAGAATGGATACTATTCCACTTTATATTCTCAATACTTTCGGTTGAGCGTTCAAATATTCGATAGTCCTGGGAAGAAAATACAACTTTTCTCATATCTTTACAGTCTTTAAATTGGCTTTTATAGCTTTTGTTGGGCTTTATTGACTCTTCTCGGTATTTTCTCTTCCACTGTTGAACTATCCTAATGTAAATAATGTTCTTGTAATAGGGGTTATCGTTGCGAGTGAGCTCTCCCTTCGAGAATTCAGGTTCAAAAACATGGGCTATTTCAGAAGTTGATAATAATAAGGAATGGCACTGCATCGTTTTGAATTCAAATACCATCGATTTAAAGAAACATCATTTGGTAACTTCTAATGCGTTATTATTACCAAAAACGACCTCTAAAACTTCAATTAAAGTCAGACAGCTACGTAAAGTATGAAAAGAACAAATTGAAATTGAAAATAAATTATAGTTGTAGGGCCAAAAAATTGGAATTCGATTTCCTAAACTGGCAGATCACAGAGCCTATTCGGTTGCTAAAGGCTGTCGATTAATTTCACTTCTAATTTCCGATAACGTATCTAGTAGCATTACAACTCATTTCAAGTTTTCAGAAATATTCCACTCCCAGATCACAGAATATCCCTGTGATTCACAAATATGAAGCAAAATAAACACTTTTTTCGCCGAATTTTCCCATAATATATCACCTAATCCGGACATTAAATTAATTACTTGGTTACTCTCCTTAATAATGTGAGAAAATTACCTAAATGCTTCATGATCGTTACTCAGATGAATCCAGCTGACTCATATATCATTTTATCCGCTCAAAAGTTGAACGTCATTTGTAAAAACGGCATGTTGTCGAAAGCGAACTTCTCCGGCTACACAAAAGGTGTTTTTTTATGTATTCAGTGCCATGTCAAGGCAATTTTATACATAAGGCAATGACAAGCCAGAGGAGGGTGGTTAATAACACGTCTTTTGCCCACGGCCTGAAATATTACGTTTTGAAGTTAAAAACAATATATTGTTACAACCTTTCAAATTCTATTTATAGCCACTTCAAAGTTCAATTTAGTTTATAATAAGACGAAAAGCAGCGCAGGAGTTTAGCTTAAATGATTTTGCTTTACTGAATCACCTTCCACTGGTAGAACTAAAGGGCTTCTATTTACATTTACAGGTAAAGTTTCCATTTATCCCGAAATGAATAGGTTGTTCCAATTGAGATTTAGTTTTCGGTCTCCATTAAAATCGCATTCATTGTTTAACGGTCTCGGCAGTAATTAAGTAAATTAACATCTGGTAGTTAAAGTTATTGCGATTCTTGAGGCAACTATGGAATAGTCAAGAAGAACTTAAATTCAGCTTCCTATAAATTGGTGTTAATAAACTACAAGCAATAATTTTTACTTTCTTCTTATTACCGACTTTCTTGAGATTCAAAATAAGAAAAAATATTTACTTTATTTACTTTTTGGCACAGAAGTCATTTGGATCACTTAATCGAAATAATAAGTCAAATTTTAAGAGGACCACGACAAATATTTTTGTGAACTAACTGTTATAACTGTGTGAATACATTTTCTAAAGTTTTCAAACTACCTACAATAGATTGCTTTATAGACATATTTGGTTTCACCTGTAGCAACGAAACCCCAAATGAAGACGGGAAGGCGAAAATAATACGTATTTATTCAGATTATAAATTAAAATAGATCCATAATAATTCTTAAAGACTCCAAACAAATTAGCAAAACAAGCATGTAATCTGTTCATGTAAATTGCTTACTTAAAAAAACTTTGCCATTGGTTGTTGTTGGTTTGGGATCTGCATACGCAAAAACTCATAACAATTGAAACAACGCTGTTAAATTTTCGGAAGCACCTGAAAATGAAGGACACTCAAACGCCTGCATATTAATACGCGAGATTCGTAAAACGTGTAAATTAATAATGACAATTCAATGTCTTAAGGAAAGCTACCAAGAGGTAAATGTAATTTGGACACTAATTTGAACTGGCATTGTGAAACAGTTTGGAAGCGCTTTGAAATAACGCCTTAAAAATACTGTAAATTATTGATTACAAACTGTACGAATGAGGACAACTTAATTAATTCTTAAATTAAGCTGAGAACAATGGCAGCGTACTTCTATGATAATAAATTCAGATTATTTAAAAAGGAAATGTTATTTTTTGTGCTAGACATCCAATTTTACAAGTGGCATCAATCTAATTTAGTTTTATCAATACTGTTTTTGGTAAATATGGATGAATGTTTTATACACCAACTTTAGCCTTCAATAAAACTGCTTTTTGGAACGTTTCCGTGACAGATGTAAGCAAAACAACGGCTCAAAACCATTTCTGAAGTAGCAAAGAATCCTTGCATTTAAGAATGTTTTAGTGAAAACCAATTTGCAATTTCTGACTATTTCTTATATCACTTATAGTCAAAAAAGAAATATAAAGCCAATAATTCAACTGACAATCTGAAATAAACCAGAAAATCCAACAACTTTCCAGACAGCATTCTTGTCTTTAGTCATTCTTTGTTTCCCGTTAACACAGCATTAAATTCTACCATGTATCCTAAATATACCTTCATATATTTCATTGGCCCAACATTCGGAACGTACTTCGGCTGGTTGATTGAAATTTTATTTGCTCCTAACATTCTCCTCCGAAGAGTTTTGCAGTATATTGGGGGTACGTATTTTAAATTTGAGACCTTAATTGAGTTTGGATAAAGTTCGCAAAGATGCCGGATAGGGATAAGAAGGATCTTGGCGTTAAACCGATAAGAAAATAGTTAATCAATATTTAGATACAGATTAATTGCTTTAAATTATACGTCTTAATTTTAACTGATATTTGTGTAGCTCCAGGAAATTGATGTGATTAATAATTTAAACTCGTTTACCTTAACAAGTGTGTGCTTGAGGATATATTGGTTTTAGAAACCGGCTTGATGGGTTTGGAACATTTTTTTAATGTACTTACGCTAATTGCTCTCTTACCTCTCCATTTCTCCAATTTATGATACTATTTAACACAATTAACAACTCCATACGTGAACCCGGCCTCGTCACGCATTTGTGTATGGATTGAAACGGAACTTATTTGTAGAAAATTTGGCAAAGTTTGCACAAAATAGACACTTTAAAAATGAACGAGTCCTGGTGATTTGTCAAATGAGCCAGCTGGCAGATGTTCTCAAATGAACCGTAAAAACGGAATGGCATATTATCCTGCAGGACACATGAGTTGAAGCTGTCACAAGTTTGATGCATCGACATCACTCGTTTAGCGTTTTTAGTCAGGAAAGGGTGAGTTTTCAGTTCGTATTGCTATTCAATCCATCACGTATTCGGATCAAATATGCATAATGGCCGAGTGAAATAATTCATATGAATATCGCGTTTTATCAGGTTAGTGCACTAATTCCATCGTATTTGCTGAAGAACGTGTTTTGCCAATAAAATTGGGAATCGTTTTGCAAAATTGAACATTCAAACACCGTACCCAAATATTCTTTGATTACAACCAGATACTTAAACATATAAGTCCATGCTTGTCTTTGTTGATCGGGTTTTACCAAACACGACTGCGGTTTTATCAGAAAATCACACGAAATTCGACATTAAAAGTATTGTAAAATACAACGAGATTTCAAGTGAAGACTTAGTACCTACTATACTTCAGGTTTGGAACCTTCCACAAATCACAATAACATAATCGATTTTTACTACTTGTTCGACACTTGATTGTTTCACCTTGCTCATGATTCGCTATTTAATTAATTAATTTAACCATTTTATTTATAAAAAAAAATAGTGGATTGACAGAATTTTAACTTTGTTTTTTCCATAAATCAAATAATTTAAACTGGATACGTATTAATTACAGAACGGCTCTCTCATTATTGCTACAAATGCAACAAATAGCTGCCATGTAATAATCATCGACTGATAGTTAGCTACTGTTATTTAAAATTGCCATTAAAAGGCGATATTAAATTGTTCCGAAAATCGTCGCGATTAAACTGACAATCTGGCTTTGATCAGGAACGCATCAAAGTATAAAACTGTTCAAATTAAACATCAAAAGGGAAACATCGTTGTTGTTTTGTACCGATCCAACTTCCACCAAATAAAATTAATGATTGAAACAGTTGGATTTTTGTCAACATGCAAAACGATTGTAACTTGTTGCCTGTTTGCCTGCTCGAAGCCCATTTGCAGATTTATTAATGAAATTTCATTTAATTAACTTTTGTATTTTTCTGTGTAACATGTGCACCCAATTTTCGAAAACAGCAACCTAAAAACAGCCCTAATTCTAGTATAGTGCGTCATTTTATCACTTGTATCAACATGATAGTGGTACTGTAAAGTGTTGGGTGCCCAGCAGTTCATAAACTGAAAATAGCTTGCATTTCTCTTATTATTGACGACAAAATATGTTCTGTAAATGTAAAATAATGACACTCTCAGACTGAATCAGAATGTATGCTGAAAGTAACGGATACTGAGCAATTGACTAAAGTAGAACAATTGAGTTTCTCATTTCGTTAGACAAGATCTAAAAAAATCGCATCAAAGGAGAAGAACTATATACAATTAAGATTAGAAATCAGTTATATTTTAGAAATTAATTATGATGATAACTACTTAAAATAATCAACCAAAGATGGAGAATACCTTAATATGCATTTGCATAGACAACTAGCAGGGCACAAGCATATTTTTACAGACCTACTTAAGCCAATCTGGAGCTATGAGTCTCAGCTACCGAATCCAACCTTTATAAACTCCAGAGATATCGGAACTGAGTGATGCCAATATATGTGCTCAACTTTATCATTCAACGCGACACCCCTGTGTCTTCTATTATAGATTGAATTAAGCAGCACAGCGAGAAAAGACACTACAAGGGGCTGACTCAGTATTATTCTTACACCCTGGCCATCCAGTCAGTGTCATATGAGGGTCCCAGGTGGCTCAAGAAGTTTCAACCATCAGATATTATGATCAGCGTTAGCTAATCATTAAGTTAAGTAGAATGGTTACATTTTGTAGAAGTCATGTGGATTCGAAAATACGCGCAATGATTACGATTTTTTTCTGCACATGTCAGATTGTTCCTTATTAAGACACTGGCTAATTGTCTCCATGGACAGATTTATTGCTGCACATTGAGGAAGGTTTACTAAAAAAAATTCTAACCCTTAGGCGCAACTTGCATCCTAGTGGGACAACTACATGTGACTAGAATAAACCGCCATTTGTTTCAAAGTATTTGTTTCAGACATTCAATTTTGGAAATTAATTCAATTTTTTCTCCTTATGACAAAGCACTAGGTTGTTGGGCCAATGAATGCGAAATGTATATATGTGAACGGTTTATCAAAGTCCTATGAAAAATAGCAAGAAAAATCTGTTCGTATTTAAACTGCCTGGATAGGATAAACCGAGACTGAAAAACTCGGTTTAACTAACCAATTTCCAAGACATACAGGGGGTCGCAATAAGGATGGTAAGCGGTTGTATCTTGGAAAGTATGATCGTAGAGTAGTAGTAGAGTGATCGAAAAAAAAATTGATAACAAACTTGAAGAAAATAATTTACTGGAAATTATTTTTAAATTTCTCAGATGACCACTAGATGGCGTAATTCCAAACGGTATTTTAAAAAGTCAATTTCATACAGAAATTGTCCTTATAAGTGAAACATCTAGTAAGTTTAGTCAAAAAATCATAAAAAAACGTAGTACTTTCCTTATGAACTTTTTTCCTAACTTGTCAAATAAAGCGTGGAGGGAGAGTCAAACTGCTTAACACAAAGAAACCTGCAACTCCGAAACGGCTTGACCGATTTCAAAGTTTTTACTATGAATTGAAAGAGCAATAAAAACTCTACAGTATGTGATATAAAAGCAATCTTAATAATTTTCGAAAAATTCTCTGTTCCAAAAAAATTCTCTGTTCAAATTTTTCACAAAAATTTCAAATACTTCCATCAAGTTATTTTACACGCATTCGAACGCACAGGAAAAAATGAATTAAACCGCAAAAACCGCATCTTAAAATAATTTCTAGAATCGATTTAATACTTGAAAATAATAAAGGTTGTCTAATTCAAATAATTAAGGTAGGCTTTAGAAGAAAAAATATTGTTTTATTTTTCGCACTATTTTCAAACTTACTAGATGTTTCACTTTAGGGACAATTCCTACTTTAATTATTTGAATTAGGCAACCCTTATAATTTTCAAGTATTAAATCGGTCCCAGAAATTATTTTGAGATGCGGTTTTTGCGGTTTGGTTCATTTTTTCATTTGCTTTCGAATGCGTGTAAAATAATTTGATGGTAGTTTTCGAATTTTTTGTGAAAAATTAAAACAAAGAATTTTTTTCGAACAGCGGATTTTTCGAAAATGAGTAAGGTTGTTGTTATATCACATATTGTAGAGTTTTTATTGCTCTTTCAATTGATAGTAAAAACTTTGAAATCGGTAAAGCCGTTCTGGAGTTAAAGCATTCTTTGAATTAAGCGGTTTGACTCTCCCCCCACGCTTTATTTGACAAATTAGGAAAAAAGTTCATAAGGACAGTAGGACGGTTTTTTATGATCTTTTGACTACACTTACTAGATGTTTCACTTATAGGGACAATTTCTGTATAAAATCGACTTTTTAAAATACCGTTTGCAATTTCGCCATCAAGTGGTCATCTGAAGAAATTTCACAATGATTTCCAGAAAATTATTTTCTTCAAGTTTGTTATCAATTTTTTCCGATCACTACAACACATACTGTCCAAGATACAGCCCCTTACCATCCTTATTGCGACACCCTGTATATGCTACTCTTCACTGCATATGTGCCAGTGAGAAATAGTAAAGAAATTGTGAACTGCAGTTAACAAAACTCTAAATCAAAGCAAAAATGTAAATAGAAATCGAAATAAAAATAATCTATATAGCAACTCTGAAATTATGCAAAAATGAAAGCCACAGTTGCATGATACGATAAGAAAGTGATTTAAAGTAACGCGAAACACGTTCTAAAGCGTCCTATACAAATTAGCCTAATTAATAAATACGAAACCTCCACGACATCTGTATAAATCTTGCATGAACGTTTCGCTTGAAGAAATCTGCTGTTCTAGCATTCCATCGATGCATATGCAAATGTTAGTAGCAAACAGCCAAATATGTTCAAACTACTTTAATTATTCAAGATTTCCATCCAAAAAATATCTATTTGAAAAGCACTGTGAAAGTGCCATTTGAATGTCTGTTTGGATTAGTTTGCTGACTGCCCTAATGGTATAATTCTACTGTTCCGCAGCAACAAAAAGAAGCACTGAGGCAGCTGTGAAAGCTTTCCTGTCCACAACCGAATTGCTAAAACCGTTTTTTCTTGTTACAGATGTGACCCGATTGAAAAGGAGGTCGAAGAAGCGAATTGGTGAAGGAACACTTTCCGCAGCTGCAATAAAGCCTTAATAGAGGAACAAAGAAAAACTGGAAAACGGCCCGTTCCAGTCGGAAAATTTAATTACTTGACACAAAAGCCGTATTTACATGGGGAGAGACTGTAACAATAGAAGGCGCGAGTGGTTTTTATGTGTTAATGTGTTTTGAAACGATTCTGAGTGACATAAAAGATGGAATATTTTTTAATGAAGCTTTTGTGGTGTTTTCTTTTCGTTGGTTTTGTGGAGGGTAAGTGAAAAACATCACGCAAAAAGCGCCTTTAAGATTAGCTTAATTTTCAAATGTCTAGACCAGGTTCGTAGTAAATTAAAACACATATATTTTAGACTAATTTTTCGAATATTGTTCGAAACCATTTAGAGACCAGTTTGCAACTTTTAATTTAATCGAATTTTTTCAGGCTTCGTATATGCCACGTGTAACAAAATCACATTAAACTTCATATGTTCATTAAGCTCAGTCCCCTGTTCAGTATGTTAATTATACTCATCAGTTTCTCTTATGTCAAGCTCAATTAACTTTTTTCAGCATTGCACCTATATCATCTTTAAATTTCCGCAAATATATATGTACTTTGGAAGGTTTGCAGTAAATTGCAAATAATTACGAACAAAATTCACTTTCCAAAAGCATATTTTATAAATTTACACAGCAGGTTTCATCTCAATTAAATTAGCTCTATAAAAATAATTTAGACAGTAGCAAGCAAAAGGTTTTTCCTTTACAACTTTATAATTTATTACACACGGTGGGGTTATTTTCTGACGGCACGAAAACTTTTGTGTCGACATTTTATTTCAATAAAATTAGAGGCTAATCATATTACGCGAAATACCACCGAAAAGCGCACATTCACTATTAAATTAAAATTTGGTTTCAGGCATTCAATAACATTAGGCTTTGGAAATACGAGGTTCTTTGGAATTTTTAATTTATTTTGTAATATAAGTAAGTAATAAAATCTTCAACGTCGATGACTAAGGGCGCGTGCTTTGCAAGCTATTTGGCAATATAAAACACAAAATACGTACGTATATTTTTTTAAATATGGGATTCCGGTGGATGTAAATTTTGTTAATTTAATAATTGTTTGTTAAGATTTGTTAATCATCGGTAGTTTTTAACACAAAAATAAATAAAATGATGTCCATCGCAATAAATCGCATTTTATCGCGATCATTTTTGCTGCAGGTTTTTCGAAATTAAAGACGTTAAAAGAATAACAAAAATCTGTATTTGTGTCTTTGAAAGGATCTGCATCAAACACTTAATAACAGAAACAAGAAATGAAAATCTTTATTTTCCATAAATCTTAATTCTTCTGCAAAAAAAACGTTATTTTACATTTTTCTTAAACTACACAAGTCACAGCTCGACTATGCGTATTTTAGAGCGTGACACTTTCCTTGATATAGTACGTACTTTATTAGATAAAGTGCGGAATGTGCACGCTATTAATAAAGTTTACTATTAACAAGCAGAATAATTTAATATTCAGCTCGAATCAAAGTAGGTTACTAAGTAATTTTTTTCAGCTTTAACCCCAACGTCAATTAAGAGCCCAAACTAACTTCAAATGGCAAATGTTTTTTTTATTTTTATACATTAGATACACTTAAACGTGAACTAAAATGAGAAAATGCAGTTTTATTTTTGAACCCCGGTGAGTCACATATATTTCTGTTCCAAATTGCAAGTCTTAACGAAACTATGGTAAAATAAATGTCCCTATAAGATCCATAGCCTGCAAAGCCAAACTTGTCGTATTTTACGCTTTACTGTGAAGTTCAAAGTAAATAAATCGACACAGTTTTCGGAAACACATATGTTTGTTTTCAAATTACTTGATATAATGCACAATTTCAAAAGTTTTTGTGTTAAGTTGTGTCATTGACTAGACCATGCCTCACTTCAACAACATCACAGTGTTCTAAATCAAAATTATTGCAAATTCAATTAAGGCCCGGAATTTACATTAGCCATGCGATAATTCAGAAGCTGTAATTACTATCAAGTTATGTCGAGCACCTAAATGAGCTTTTGCCATAACTCTTCCAGTGCAGTCATCAACAACAATTGTGAACTAATTTCCAAAGCAATAACAAGCCACTTAGGTTTTTTAATCTTTTTGTGTCGACGCTACTTGGTTAAAGTGAGTGTCAAGCCACTATGTAATTTGGAATTGAAAACACAAAAATCAAAGAGAATTAATGATCTGGTGGATTTAATAGAACAGATAGGCGCACTAATTAGCAAAAATAAAGACAGACTGGTAGCAGTTCCAGACATGCAAACATGGAAATGGATGTAAGAGAATTAATGATTTATTCGACGGCAGCTCCAAGTTCGAAACCAACACAAAGGGAAAATTAGCAATTCATTTGCACATTTCCTTGATGCCATAATTAATGAATATATGGAATACCATTCCATGAAAATATTTCTTATAATTAATTAGAGTAGGCATTTATGATAATCAGACTATTATAATAAGATCGATTTCCTATGAAAACAATTTTTTATTAACACAGTGTTTTCATTAATAGAACACCCAATTTTGTATTCAGGATTTTGCTATTGTGCCCGACCTAAAAACGTAAATTGTCAATTGATTAAATACCTCTAGCTTGGAGAAAATGTGACACATAGAATTACGATGAAAACGAAACAATCGAAAATACGACGAAAAATCCGAAGGCTAAATTCAATGATAAGAAAACGTCAATTAAGCTTCTGCATGTTGCAGAGGCCCGTGACTGAAAAACAACAAAAAATTTGTCCATGCTGTGAAGACTATAGAAGAATTAATATTTGAGCGATACGGAAAAATATATTAGATATATTCAAAAGTTTCTCCAAACCATTGACAATAACTTTGGTTCAGTCTTCTACAGTTTATGCCTATTCATTTTTCTTATTGTTATGTGTTCTACAAACGTAATAAATAGCTGAAAGATACTGTCCAATAGTCCAATAAATCAAGTTATTTTATTTCCCAAATTTGTCTGTGATGGTAATCTGGAGATATTGAATGTGAACGTTCACAAACATGTGGCATTATTCGATCTCTTCTATTGATAATATCCATTATAAACTAGATGATATAGCCGATGTTTTTGATAGCAAAAACCTTAATTTTTCCAATATCGTTGCAGCACATATCCAGCACTGAATACCGCTTTTCATGAAGACAACATAAGCAATTAAATTATGCAGTAGATATCCAAAAGAAGAAAACTATAATTGTTATTTAAAATGACAAAAAAATGGCCAAATGTAAAAAATTCTAGTGCCAATAATACGTTTTTATTAAAAGGAATAACGTTTGCTTATCAGTCGAAATCGCAGCCATTTTCCATAAATTTCAAAGTCCCTGCTCATATTTGATATGAAACTCAGTAAATGTGAATGGCGTCAAAATTTTTTATTTATTAATTCGCTAAAAGCCATCGTTAAATATTTTTTATTTGCTAGTATGGCCCTGTTTGATTAGATTCGAGGTATTATTTATATTTTAATCCATGGCGTTTTTATAAAATTGAAAAATAACTGAATTTAACGAGGGCAATATAAATTGAAGATATAGAGCTCGTAGTTGATCTAGATGAGAAAATTTACACGATTTAAGAATTTTCCAATATGCAAATTATTAAAACAGAAAATTATTTATAGTATTCAAGAGAATGCGCGACCGAAATTTTCCATTTCTTATGACTATCTTCTGTGTCACACTGGTATATTTTTGGTCAATATATGAATTAGCTTTAAGTTTTTGTTTTCTCGGTACTTATTTCGCCATTTTTGTTTCAGTGGTTTACTCAGCAGGGAATAATTTCAAATGGGTACGAGTAAATGTGCCACAATACAGAGTGCCAGGTGAAACAGCCCAATTGCAGTGCGATTACGATTTAGGCAATGACACTCTATATTCTGTAAAGTGGTATAAAGAGCACGAAGAATTCTACAGATATGTGCCAAAATTGCGGCCAGAATCCAATTCCTATAAAGTTGATGGAGTTCATGTGGACGTAAGTACCCTAAATTGTATTAATTTAGTTAGAATACTCTAGATTCAGTTGATAAAAGAGCTTTTCGATAAATTACGAAACCGTTTTCAGGTTCAATCACCACACAAAAAGTAAATCCTCGTTGACCTTCCCATTATATGTCTTCGCTCAATTAGGTTTGATATTTACGACGCCCATAAATTTTTACGGTCAATTTCATGCCGATGTCGCGGAAATGTGAAAATAATAATCAATATACAGCTTACCTATGAAATGGCTTGTAAAAATGTTTCATTTTTTTGCTAGTCCGTATTCCCGTTTTAATTTTCCAATGGTTTGATTCTCATAAGCCGGCTGTATCAAGTAGTGTGTTTAATCTCACCAGTTTGAAACGCTCCTTTAGGATGTCCATTCAACTCAATATAAACATTGCTAATGACGGAAGAACGTAATGGCAAATTACCAATTTTACCAAATTTTAGTAGCATATTTGCGTTCATGTTATTCCGTCGATATTATCCCATTATTACGCTGAAAAATGTTCACGAGTCTCGGAACAACTTTTTCGTACAATTGGATTAAATCGATTCTATTTATTATGATCATCAAACGTACCATTAAAAGTCGCAAACCGCAATAAATATTGATAGTGACAATAGAAAAAGTAAAATATATTAAGTAGCCCAAAAGTGTGTAATATGCAAGTAATCAGTGTATGAATCATTGAATGTATCTTATTTGCCGTCGCGAACTAGAAACCAATTTCATGTTGATCAGTTTTGGGGTCATTTGAATTGAATAAAAGTCTGTCTGAGAGTTAAACTACAAAATTTAATAAATTTTACCATAAATGAAATCTTTAAAATCGTTAGAAAATCTTGAAAATTGAAAAGTGTACATCAGTGAATGCAACTATCGAGAACCTTATTGGCTGATTTCGGACACAAACGTAATGGGAAAAAATGACTGCATTTAGTTTGTCAATATTCACAGACTACCATCCCAATTTTCTCAATTGCGGCTTTCATTTGTCAGTGGAACGCTATCAAACCTCCGCACAAGATAAAAGCGTTCCAGATATTGGCAAGACAAAGAATCGAGTGATTTGGGATTATTAAAATTTGAAGCACGTAAAACGAATGCAGCTTGTATTTTGTCGTCCGCTCTATAATAATTTACTCTGATCGGCTAAATGTGACCTGAAAGAAGAAGTGTCATCGATTTTCTCCCGCTATGCTCAAGATTTATTATAATTCATAGAAAATCGCTTTACCTGCATCATATTTTAAAAGTTGTGTATCTTGGATGTCTGCAGTTATTTTCTATTTTGTTTATCGTACCAAGCAGCGTAGCGTAGGAGAGATTTGTGACGGTGCTTTAAGGAATTTGGGTGTGTTTGTTTTATTATATTTTCCTGGAACAGATATTGTTGAAGTTCTGCAATTCAGCGAGAGTTTATAGATGAAAGGAATATTACACAGTTACGCAGAACTTTATAGTTTCAATATTGAAGCGAATATATTTATTTAAACGTATGGTGGTCAGAAAACGATCTTTGCTTAACAAGTCCCTGTCAGACAATTGCAAAAAATACTTTCTTTAGATGCCATAATGATTGTTTCATAATCAGTTAATTGCTTTTTTTGTATTAAACTTTTCAACATTTACGACATACCGAAACTTCCACTTTTTTAATTTCTATATTGGGATTTTGAATGGAAACCTCTGTATGAAATTTTGAAACCCACCTTGCCTTTCTCGATATTGTTTTGTGAGTAAAGAATAAACGATCTGAAGAGAGTTTAAAATTTCGGTCACGAATGCGGAATTGCAGCCTGTATTTTGCCATTCGCCTCATAATAGCTCATTCTGATCGAATAGATGTGACTGGAGTCGAGAAACGAAATGGTTTCGAAACCTGCGTCACAAATTTAGTGGCTTTTCAGGCCATAACCAAGCACCTGTGTTATTGTTTAATTTTGACTGACTATTTTTCTAGCCGCCACGTTTTAAATAAATTGAATTTGTGTCTGAAGTGGTAAGGAAGGTGTTGAAGGAAATACAAAACTGTAGAAGCAGCCAGTCTTACTTCAGTGGAATTAGATTTACTTCCCAATATTGAAACGGTGAAAACTTGAAGTGTAGAGAATGATTTCAAATTCAAGCCATTCTTTTGGTTCAGTCACAATAAGAAAAAACAGAAAAAAATTTTTTTTAATTAATTAGGTGAAATTTGTTTGCCTCCTTTTTTCCTATGACTTCCGATGCCTTGCAGGTCACCGACCAATTCCCGGAATTTCAATCGATTTGAAGTGGTTTTCACCGAAATTCTTCAACTATTCTTACACCTAAGATTAAGGGTACTTCAAGCTAGAACCAAAATAAATGCCAAGCTAACACTGCATAAAGTCTGCATTAACCGCATTGTAGTCTGTTTATATATGGACTAGTCGAAGTTGGACCGTATCTAAACAGTCTAGACCTTTTACTAACCGACTAGTCCCTTTGGTGAAGGACAAGTTTGTTACCCATATGGACTCAAATCTTCAGTCCGTTTATATACCGACTAGTCATTTTATATACTGCCGGTTTAACACATACGGCCTGTAACATGTATATTCTATCGCCCCCAAATATTATTATTCAAGCATCTAGACAACATTATCTCAAACCTTTCGGTGTCGTCTAATTTTTTAAAGACAGCTTTCGATCCATTTTCCAAAGTTCTATCTTTCAGGGATTTACACGTTAACAAAAATGTTGTATATAGAGAATCCTTGTGGCTGTTCACAAAGAACAAGAGAACGAACGGCCAAGTCTCCGTGTAAATTTACAAATTAAATTCAAAACATATAAATTTTGAAATAATTTTTTTAAGTTGATCAACGTCCATTGCAAACGTCCATTGCAGTTTGATATTGAATCAAATTGAAACAATTGCGCAATTACAATATTTGCTTATTTCATACAAAACCGATACTGAAAGCCGCTTTACAGTTACAACGAGACAATTATTTCGAAATTGATCCACTATTTTTCGAATAAAAATTAAACCAGTATAAAGTTACCGATTCTTTTCTAGTTCAGTTACGATTGAATTGGATTGCTCTGTTGATCCGAGTAAAGTATTAGAGTTAGAAATCAATTCAAGTACATTTACAAATTTACATTTTAACAAATAAGCCACTGTTCAGTATTTATAGTAATTCAATTGGCTAGTGGTTGATTGAAGTTGCCACGGTAAGCGAAGTGAAAATTAAATCATTTAATTCCGATAGAATTTCTGACTGTCTCATTATAAAATGAGCATATTTTGGCTATCCGATCTATAATGGAAACGACACATTTTAATTGCAAGTGAAGTTCGAACAAAACCTTTTAACTACAGTTGCTGAAAGTTGAGCTTAATAAATACATTACTTTCGAGTAAATACCTCATTAGCACTGGGAATACACTAATTTTATTAGTAAAATATTTGGAAAGCGTTCCGCAGCTGATCCGAATTTTAACTTAATGGCTCACCTTGACCAATTAAACACGAAATAATTGGTTGAGAATTTAGAAAACCCGAGCATTTATTGCATGGATGTACGTGACTTGAATTAATTAATTTCCTTGGCTTCAAGAGCAAGCAAAACAACCAGGCCCAAATTGTTACCGTGTAGTTGGCTAATTCCATTTGACAAGAAATGATTGTTACGTGCTTGAAGATTATTCGTTTGAAAAGTCAATTAAAAGCCCTCATTTCTTGCATCAATTTGATATCATATCATGCTATAGGCATTCTCTATTTAGGCACTAATGTAATGGTTTTTTCATTTTGTTGTTTATTCTGCATTTTGTTTTGATACGAATTTGAAGCAGAAAAGCTATGTTTACCGTTGCCGGAAACACAAAATTCATTTTCCATCCGGCCGGTTTTCATAACATGTGGGTATATGATGCACATTTTCATTTCGGGCAAAGCTTTTCGTGGTAATTTTCATGATATGGAAACATTAAAACTTATTCAAGCAGTTCTCCAATGTGCCTGCAAACGTGCGTACAAATCAAATCAAGCAAATATTACTTCAATATTGCTAGCATTGCTGTTTCGGATTTATTTTTTATTAGTGGCGATTTTAACATCCCACTAAATAATAATGTTGCAATTTCGGCGAAGGGCTTGCTAAGTTGTAATAGACTTGTAGGAAATGTCGTGTCTCATGCAAAACTAAATCCCTTTAGGCTAGAATTACTTTACACGCAATTGCACTAATTGATCGTGTGTCTAAAAGCATGCACACCTGTTCAATTTTAAGTTTATTAGATTGTAACGTGGTTCGATTTTTTTGGCGCGGCGTTTCATACAATTCTTGTTAAAATATTACCAGCAAATAAAAAATTATGTATTTTCAATGTGGTTTATATGGAAATTGAAGGCAATATTCACATCTACATTATATGACAATTTTTTAAATAATTTTGAAAAACTTTTCGTATAAATCGCTCACTCACATACTTCGAGTTTATAGCCTACATATTAAATTACCGCAGTTTCCCTGCCATTTTTTGACCAGTTGTTGGCGTGTTGGGATTCTTTAATTTGAAATTTGCAATATGAACTCATGTAAAGTTAAATTCGCTTTATTTTTAACTTTCTAAAATATATTTTAGATATTATAATACCAAAAGCTTATTGAACTATTGATTTCATGCGTTCATTCAAATGAGCATTCTTATTTTCCTTTATTCTTGCTAAATAGAGCAGTTTAAAAATAATGTGTGTCATCAATTAATAAAATACCTAAATTTTGTATAACAAATTGAAAATTCCATTTTGTTCCTTGTACTTCGTAATCGCGAACTTAAACTCTTTCAAACTGACCCAAACTAACTCAAACACGCATATTTCATATATACAACTAATGGTGGACAAAATTACAATAAAATCCAGGATTGTTATAAATGGAAAGCAATATGATGGTAATTTATGTACCGAAACCAGTCCTCTTTTTTTATCTGGAAAATTGGGCACATAAGACCATAAAGCTTTTTTACAAACTTCTTTTTGGGTATTTCGCCTCAAAAATTTTTGTCTTTAAAAAAGACAGAATTTCCTCACGTCTTTTATTACAGACAAAAATTTTTGTCTTTAAAAAAGACAGAATTTCCTCACGTCTTTTATTACAGAAAAAAATTATAAAAATTCATAAAAATGAATCCGCCTCAACAATATAGAACTTATCCATAAAGCTTTTATTGCATACTATAATTAGGTAGCTTCCACAGACACGTTTCATTAATAGATGTCTTTGCCTTTACAAAGATTGAATCGTTACAATTCCCTATTTTTTTTAACTGAAATTAAAAGACAGACGAAGTGAGAACTCCCATCAACAAAATTAATTCCTCTTGAGAAAATTACAATTTTCAATTTGCATTTCTCTATGCCAACAACATAAAAAGCAAATAAGCTATTTTATAGTCATTTATTTGCTAAATTTAATTGGCAAAAAATATCAAACGTTTATAACTCTTTCCAATTATGCATGGATATAGTTAAACTCTATCAATGTTTAACGATATTAGCCCCGTTTCACAGCAATATTGGATTCCGAATTTTTTCGCTGATTTATATTCAGCTAAAGTAATTCTGTCATTTACATTTTTTTCAATTTTCTAGCTGAGCGGGCGGGAACCAAGCGATTTCTAGTTAAAATTAAAGCACAGCAAATTCTGTATTTGATTTTTGGTATTTCGTTTTGGTATGTGTGCAGGTACATCGGAGATTTATGGATTTATTTTACTAGATGGATAGCAGCAGTATTTTAAATTCAGTAGACACTGCACCATTTTCGATATAATGTCAAATGGCGAAATTGTCAATTTTTAATCAGCTAGGCAGAATTTAAAAAACCTTAAGTAAATAGCAGGCTTCTACTGCAATATTTCTAATTAGAATATAAAGTTAATCATTGCCTCGACTGAGGTATTGGATAAGTTGTGTGTCAAGCATTTACTAAGCCAAAACAGAATGATAAGTTGTTTTTACACAACAAAAGTAAAGAGTGAAAGCTAAGTTTCCTAACGTACTGGAAATTAAAACTTCCCGGATTTTGCCCTATTTAAGCTTGCTACCTGTTTCTCTCATTTCGCGTCTAGTGTCTAAGTCGGATTTCATTTAAATTCATCATAGAGACGTTTTCAGCAGAGAAATACGGTTTCGCATTTTAAATCCGAAAAACTTTTCGCTTGTATAAGAAGGGTATTCTACACGGTGCGACAAGTAGGTTAGGCAGCTTTCAACTTAGATCTATGTCTATTTGAACTAGTTTTCAGCTTTACAATTTGCTGGCAGAGCTTTTTATGTCACGGAAATAAAAAATATAGTCATAAGGGTATCTAAATAAAGCATCAAAATTATTTTTGAGTAGCTTGTAAAATACGATAGCAAAAACGGAAAGTTTAAATGATTCGCTAATTAAATTTTATTAATTATTTTCTTCCAACTCTTAGGGAGATTGTTGTCCAAATTGTATCCAGAATAAATCTAGTTGGAGTTTACTTTCGGTTATGTCTAAATCACTCTGGCGAAAAAAATAGTGATAAATATTGACCTTTAAATAACATGTCAGGATTTTCCTGTTAATATGCGGCAAAATTTAAATCAAAATAAGGAAGTTATTTGATAATTATATGCTTACAAAGCCTGACTTTGACTTTTGCATAAAGCTGCCGTTCTTCAAATATACAATTTGATGATATAAATAAAATCTATTACCAAGTTTACATTTCCGAATAGTGACAGTCTAATAAGAATATAGATACATGCGAAAAAAACTAATTATTTACTGTCCTAAAGCGCATCACATACACAAAAGCGAAAATTTTCTCCTCCTAATTAAAACCTATAAAGTTCATTGGTAAATATTTGCATTAAAAGCAGTTAAGCTGCAGTTATGCCAAGCGATTTTTCCAAAGCACATCGTTTCCAACCCAGGCCTCTTTAATTGAAACAAGTTCATCCGGCTAAACCTCTCGACTTAATTCGCACTCTTTTGAAAGCTCTCAGCTTAAATGGAGCCCATTTTTAATTGCAGATGTCTAAGTCGGACAACAGAAAAGTGGTCCTTCACTCCGTCAACTGGAAGACGAGCGGAGTCTACAAATGTGAAGTGTCGGCCGAGGCGCCATCATTCGCCAGTGCTCAAAGCGAGGCCAGGATGGAAGTCGTATGTAAGTAGAAGAAGTGTTTGCTCAGATCTGGAGTTTTAAATTAGATGCAGCTCCAAGTGGTGCTTCACAATCGCCATGTCGGTCTTCTAGCTTCACTTTTTCACACTCGTAAAATGCTGTTTCACACTGTAGCTTTCACAAGTAATTGTGCCAAAGATTAATTTCCAATCTTTGACTGAAACACTTTGCACGAGTCGAAATGGTCTTATAGAACTGAGCAAAATTAATTTATGTTTTCAATTAACTTTCAAAAAACCGTGTATAAATCTTATACTCCAGTCGCAACCCAACAGGAATGTTAAACTAAACCCAAATACAATAAAAAATATTGATCACCCAAGATATAAACACACGCTCTATGAACTAAAACAGAAGGTTTTTATCGGTTCGAAAAAGTTATTAGCAAACCGTTTTTATAAAGCAATGTAAAAATATTAAATCTTGTTGATTGTATTTCAAAGAATATTCTTCAATAGTATTATTTATAGTACAACAAATACTCAGTTCATTTGCATGGAAGAATGCAGAATGCTAAATTGGCCAAAAAGTGATTAACTGAAATTCCAGCTTTACATCTATATATACCAATAAAATTGGACAATTTCCGAGTTTCCTGAAAATTTTGCAACTTTGTGTTGAAAAACCGCGCCCTGTATTTCACACACCTTGAAGGCAGCAAGTATTCAAAGTTACGACCGCTATGAAAAACCATATTACAAAACGCATAAAACATTTGAGTAAATACCGGTAGTAATGAAACCGACATGAACATTGAATTTGAGTTCGCGTGAGGTAACGACGCAAGAGGGCAGGAAGGTAATATTGCAACCATTAAAATAAATGTGTAACAGTAGACGATTAAAAGCTTTATAACTCCCCAACTCCGATATCGTGTGCATGTTTATATTCACATCAATAATTTCTTAAGCTCTGTGGCACGGAAATTTACGTGTATGCAATTCAAATAAAGTACTTTATTGGATAAAGGTGAATATGTTATGCGAAAGCGAACCTGTACGGTCATAAGACTAAATTAGTATCTTGGAAAACGTAGTCCTTGCCAATTGGATATTGATTCGTTAGTATCTGTTATTTAATGTGGCACATGGTGCAGTATGAATAGCCAATAACCACTAGAAAACACCAAACAAAGAACTTCAAGAAAATTGTATTATGAAAGTAATTCCAACACTACTTTCTTCTGTGAGACAACAAATATAAAATATTGAAAAGCGGCACGTGAAATCAAAAAGAAACAGGATTATCTTACAGGTCACATTGTTAGACTTTGCAAAACGTTATAAGAAACCATTATCTCCGAAAACTCTTCAGATGATACTTTACATCACTGTTTAATGTTTTGTTAATATTAATTGATAACATTATTTCGGATAATTATATGTGATACCCTTCTTCAGCAGGTCAGTTAGAATTAAAACAAAAAAAACATGAAAATAGAAAATAGACTCTTATCCAATTAGCAAATGTACCAAAGTAAACCATTTAAAACCGCGTATAAACATAACAAACGCTAAAAGCATAACCCGGAAAACATTATAGTCTCTTCAATTTTTAATATTCAATTACGAAACACCGAATTGCCACTTAGAACCAAAGTACATACTTGCTGTCCAAATCAGATAATACCAGGCAATTTGCACCTCGCAATCCATAATTTCGATAGCAAAAATAATCCCTTGCCATTATGGGGTTGCCAACAATAAAATTACTATTAAAATTACCCCGATTGTCACAATCTGATTTAATTTAACGCTCAAACGCCCCTTCTATTTGGTGGCCATATAAATTAATTAACTAATGATCCCCGAAACTATCAATTTCAGGCCAGGTCTAAATAAGCTTCGCTGCGCTAATTGGTAAACAAAAATCTAAATGTTTAATCAATAAAGTGAACGTGTAACACAGAGCACTTTGAAATGGAAATTAGGTCTTTTGCTGTTAGAAAATTTGTTTAATGTACATTGGTTTACTGAGAACGGGCGGTATAAAGAAATATTTGGCCTATTTAAGAACTTGAAAAAGTCTAGATCGTGAAAGTTAAAGCACATTTATATTTCCATTATTAGGGGTGATTTTCAATGCTTGTTTCAATGCTTAAAAATATATCCGATTAGAAGGTTGGTTCAAGTGGTGAGCCCAACAAGGAAATTTTGTATATAAAATGGCTAATTTTACAAAGTGTATATGAAACTTATGTACACATTGCGGGTACCAAAGAAAACAAACACGCAAAATTCTGCCAAAAATTCCACATAAAATAAAAATTTAGACTGTCCGATTTTGCTTGTTTGTAAATAGGACGGGTTTTTCCAACGGACAGTGTGTAAGAAATTTCGTAATTTTTTAATTCAATTTTTTATAAGTACAAGCTACTAATTGCAGGTTAGATATGCCTAGACAACAAATAAGAAAAATATATGATAGTAAAAGTCTAGATAAAAAAGATAAAAGTGCTGATCTGGCCAAAGTATTGGATATTTTACAGAGTCTGACTGAATAGGTCACAAAGACTGGGGGTAAATAAGATTTTAGTTTGAAAGAACAAAAGCTGCTAAAAACAGAACATCTAATATTGTAAAATAAAAAACTATCAGAGAGTAAATTGGATATGCGACCGAAATCATTCGAGAAAATAATAGTTAAATTAAGTAAGATTTTAAAGATTCTGAAGAAATGTGGAAGGCGCTACAGTCAAACACGAACCCAAAGCATTTCTAACCAATTCAGTTAAAGTCACTGTCGAAACAGAAGAAGGCAAAATATAAATTTATTGAAAAACAGATGCAAAGAAAAAAAAATACGAGAATGATATTTATTTTCTTAGTAATCTAACAATCAAAAAGTAGTTGCAAAATTCAGATGGCTAAGAGAGAAAATAGGGTAAAACATTCAAAAGATTTTTGAAATTATTAATAAATAATTAAGTTAACAGATGCAATATGCAATGCAGATGCTGTGTGCAATGTATCCTATCGAAAACTTGAGAAATTTTTAAACTAAATAAATGTAAACTGTAGTAAAGAAAATGTAGAATAGAGATAAACCGAAGGGTTCGATATTAAGTTTAATAAGAACCAAAAAGAAGTGAAGAACAATAAGTAAACTTAACAAAAATAAAATTTGTAGTCAAAGAGCTGCTACTGGAATGGGACGTATACTACATAGAACATGAAAAAAACTTTAAATAAAGCAATCTCAGTTATAGAAAAAAGTGAGCCGATTTATTTAAGACAGTAGGTACTATTAGCTAATGGACATAATAAAGGCCCCATAGGCCATTTCAGTTTCAGAGTTGGAAATAAGCAGAAAATATATAATAGATCTATTACAAAATATAGTGAAAACGCACAAAATATCAGTGGTAAACAAATGCTAAATGTTTCTATGACAAACAAGGTGCTACTCCAGTATAAGGGTGGAAGAAATAGTGATGATGAAACAAACCATACGCCACTCGGAAAAGCCGTTTAGTAATAAATTAAGCCTTTGTGCAGTGGTGTTATAAATCCTGCAAAGTTGAAGTAGAAACTAGTAGAAAAGTTAGGTTTCCTGGTAAACGATTACTTAGTAACTAAATTTGAGGATAACTTAGCTTAACAACATTTTTCAATCGGAAAACATAAATTTTACTTACACCCAAAAAATATCAAAATATTGAAACAAAATGTATTTGTTTTCATTGACAAAATCAGGTGAGAAGTTGGGGGGAAAAAGACAAATATTTTCAGGAAATAAATGCTATATTATGCAGAACTGTAGAATGTTCTAGCAAACCATACATACCAAGTTAGAAAAATATACATTCATATGGCGTTAAATCTGTAGACAAAATACAAAAAATTATAAAACAGGTTCTCTTTATTGTTCGAAATCGAGTAATTCAATTAAATAGAAAGTTCCACATTATTTGTTTTACTTCGGAATTATAGGACAGTTATGCAAATATCTGCTTTTACGATGATGACCAAGTTTATAGTTTGCCGCGCCCCATTAATTTGTATTATTAATGCCCATATTTCTAAGTCATTTTGACCTCAAATTTTTGTTTGATAAGCTAACTCATATTTTATGTCGTGTTTGCATATATCTGACTAACTATTGTTGGCATTTTAGTGAGATTCATTCGGTCGTCATTAATAAGGAATAAACGATACATAGATACAAATATTTTGACTCAAATAATTGAATCTGATATAGCCAAGCATCAAACAAATACCATTAAAGTCTATAGCCGAGAAGGTATTTGGCAAGGACAGGTGATTATACCAGTTCAAACGAAGTTATTTGCTTTGTTCGCGTATTTTATAATATATAACGCCACCTAAAAACTTGCCCATTACAGCTCCCAAACAATTATTCGGTTAATAGGTTCTGTGCCTTTTGTTCGGTTAATACCTACCAAATTGCACGATATTATTAAATTTTACCACAAAAAGTACAACAATCAAAATTCTCCGAGGCGTTACCGAGTCTCATGTGGTTTATTATTGCTCCGTAATTGTATATAACATAAATATTTCCGTTGAATGTAGCGCAGTGTCAATAAATCATTGTCGATTATGTCTTATAACGAGCAACCACTTCGGAAAATGCCCTAACAACCTGCAATTTAAAATGAAAAAGTATGGGATTTCTATTGAAATATACTTCGAAGCAGCGACTATTAATATGCAGGTTGGAAATTATGTGCATATATAAATTATCAACATCATCATTAGTTCCCGAATAGCTTCAGGTGATCATTCTTCAAGAAATGGTATTGAAACGGGACATTTTTGCTTTGTAGTCTATTTAGCGCCGCAATTTTTAATTTAAATCCTAGCTTATATGAATTGGTGAAAACTTGTCGTAGAAATCGTTACATATGAAATAACCAAAATGAAACTTGCTTGCTTTTAAAAAAGACAGAATTTCCTCACGTCCTTTATTACAGATTGATAAATAGTGCTCCTATTATTAGGAGAATATCTGTTAAAAAA